ATAAATTATAAAAAGTCCAAAATCCTTTTTTAAGTAAACTTTATTAAAAATTTAATAACTAAGTTGTATTTGATTCTTTTTTTTAGATCAAAATATTATTCATTGAACCATTAATATTAATAATAACACATTTAGATATGTCCTTTAATTATATAATCTTGTTAATAATGAAATACATTTTTCGGAATTGTAAATAGGTATAACTTTTAATGTGCCAAATATAAATTTTAAAAACATTGTTCATTATTTTACAGCATCATTAAAACCATAGCCTTTTCAGATCTTTAAGCAAAATACTAATAAACTTAAATTTAAAATTTTGACTTCTCTTTCATTTTATAAATCAATTGAAATAATTCTGTTCTAATAACTAATCTTAAATAATATTATTTAACTGCCGATCTAAATAAGTAAATATGTTAGCTTTATTGTAATATTCTATATTTGCTCTATTTCTTAGCTTTGAGGTTTAATTTTTAATAATAATTCTTATAACATACTATAAATAACTTTATATTTTATACACACGTAATGTTTTATAGGAACACCGGTACTACGTTTTCGCGTAAATGTTTATACGTGGATTGTAAAAATACATAATACTATTATTACAGCTACAATAAAAATTAAGATCGATGGAGATAGGTAATAGGCATTTCAATATTTAATATAAGTATAGATATGAGAAACGTAAGCGTATATTTTAGGATAAACATAACATGTTTAAACGAGCACTGTGAGAGACTAGTGTCTAGTAGTGAGATACAACCGCAAATTGTTCTGATATAATAGAGCACAATAGTAATAAATAAAAACAACAAAAATTTTTTCATAAAAAAATTTATTTTATACAATGATGAATGTTTATTTTTTTATTTTTATATACATATCAACATAGTAAATAAAATAATCGAAAATATTTTTAAATTTTCAACTTTGAGATAATTTCGGATATTAAATTAAATCTAGTTCGTACTTTAAACGTGTTAAAATTAAATTTTTTAGCATTTTTAAAAATAATGAATAAAACTTATATCTCAAAAAAAAAAAAAAAACTATTAGAGATTTTTACCATATGGTATAATTTTCAAAATATTTTGTTTGTAAGTAATTAACAGATATAAAAAGATAAATTTCTACATTTTTAATGTTTGACGATTTTTACGTCATTACAAGACACTGTATATTTAGTATTGAACTGTAAAATAACTATTTATCCTTCAACAATATTTGACATTTTGTTGTAATAAAAACATATAATTCTAGCAACTTGAAATTTTCACCAAATTTTTATACATGATTTATTTTTTGAAATATTTTGAATCCTTTTGAGTTATTTATAGACATACGCAATTTCTAATGTTATTTAATTTTAGTCTATAATAGATTTTGATTTTTTTTTTTTTTTAATTGAAAACCTTGAAAATTTAATACAAGATCCCATATAAATTACTTTTAGGCTTAAAATTCAAATTTCAATACACAGTTATCATACTAGTTTATATTACTTTTTTTATTCTTAAAAAATTATAAACTTAATTTTTTTTATAATTATTTTAATTTTAAATATAGGCAAAATTACATATTTAAACTATAATAACGATAAATAAAAAAGCATAATCTAAAAAATATTGTACCACACATAAAGCTAAAAGATAGTGAAAATAAGGTGAAGCGACAGGAAATAGTGAAGCAGCAATTGTCATGAATAGAACTATAAAAACTATTAAAGAAGAAGACTGAATAACGGCGGGACTCTTTTTGCTCAAATATCTTAAAACTATTTCCTTTTTTTCACACAAAAATATAATACTTACGTTTTCATCACATTTTTATAATACACATTTTGGGAAACACTTTATTATTTATTTTTGTAAATTACTCCTCTAGTAGTAATTTTTTTCTCAGTCTATTAATATCAGATACAGTAAATGTTATAAACTACTTTATAATTACAATGTTTACATCCTACATTTCTAATTTGGCGATGAATATTTTTTAGCTCATAAAAGTCGTGACTATGTTCTTCAGTTGTTAATATAAAAAAAAAATCATTTTTTTCCGAATATATTAATGCACTAAAAGTTCTCGTAACACCATTTCTAATGGGTAGAACCGTATTTTTTACTTGTCGATCCAAAATTATATTTAAAATTAGTATATATTAATGCACGACATCCTTCTTAACTCTCTTAAAATATCGTAATTTCGCTTAAATTTACTAAAATAGTTAACAATATTAATATTTTGATTCAAAAGTAAACGAAACTGCACTGAAATGTGATTTTGCTTTTGCTTGCAATTTATACATTTTTCATGTACCTATAAATTTTTCTTTTTTAGAAATTGTTTTGCTTTTTGTTCCCTGAATTTTCAAGCTTATATCGATATCGTAGATTGTTAGTTATTACTAATTTTTAAATTGTACAGCCGCCTGGAAATAGGAATATTTCAGGCCGTGATTTACATATGTCATAAAAATACACGAGCCGCAATTTACATAGTATAAGTCATATTTTTTGGGGGGCGCAATTTACAGACTCCAACTGAAACAGTTGTCTAGTTTTCAAATCTTATTTAGGCTAGTATTCAATCATATATATATTATCTTTGTAAAATAATATCGATACTCATATCGAAAGTTCAAAAACTTTGTAGGAGCATAACACTAAAAGTATATCATTACTGTTTTTGCAATAATATTTTTAAATACGATGCTTCTTTTTCGAATTAAATCAATTTAGGTATCACAATGTTAGCAGTAAAATAATTAAGTTTAATATAAATATAAATAATAATAAAAAAATATATGCAATTTATGAGTGTCTAATACTTTTTGATATAGGTTGATATTGAATTAAAATTTAATACATCAATCAAAATTAACCATTTGACACTTATCGTACAACATATCGGTATCCAACTTTTTAATCACCTTTTTTTATGTTCATAATTATCTATAGCTAATTAATATTATATAGTTATTAATAATAATTTATAATATAAACTATACTATTAGATATAGTAAAAAATAAATCTATATAAAGTATATGTTGTTTAAAATTTTCCACTTCGCCTATTAACCTGTTTATTAGTTTTATATGCTTAAAAAATGAACAACTAAAAAAATATAATTGCTTGCTAAGACATTTTGTATAGCGTATTGTGCATACAAGCCGTATTATAGGAAAGATTTCAACTATTGATTTTTCACAAAAACAAATCTAGAGAATAAAATAGAAACATTATACACTATGTAACTAATGAAAGTTACGAATTTACATTTCCGATGAACCAAGACGGAAATAACTTTTATTTTCGATGGCCTCCTTTAGGATTTGTTTTTTTTTTTTGCGGTGCACGACGTTTCTCTCTCTTCGAAATAAATTCCACCATTTCGATACGCGTATTATATGCAAATCATGTCATTTAAATATTTTTAAGTATTGTCACGGAAATACTTGATTTTCGGAGAAAAGGTGGCACTTTGACGAATTATTATTCGTAGTCCCGAGAAAAGCATTTTAATTATTCAAAACAGGATGGCCATCCTATTAAATATATGTGTTTCATGAATAGTTTTTTTCTATAAAAAGACTCGCATGCATATTATTATGGTAATATAATAATAAATCGTTATGGTGTAGCATTACGTGGTTGACGAAACAATTAGCTTTGCCCAATTTAAATTGACGTTAATTTCAATGGAATTTTGAAATCAATACTTGCAATATATTATGATTATAATAGGGAATAACGTAAAATGTGCTATATATATATATTAATTTGATTTTAACGAAGCATCAACGAACTATATTCTATATGAAATTCGTGAGTTTTAAATGTTTAAAACACATGATCAAAAGAAATATGATATAATTTTTTGAACAGCACGTTTTAGGTCGAATGCTTGAGTGCCTTGAGCACATGTAAAATAATATTAAATTGTTGTCTGAAAACTAATAATAATACATCGAAATACCAAATAGTTCAGGATAGCAATTTTAAACTTAAATCTGTAATATTTTCTTTCATAATGGATTGTTTTTATTTATTTTTAAATCGTAAAATTCTTTAAATGTTTTAAAATATTTTTATTTTTTTATTCTTAGTGAAACTTAAAGGAAAAAAAAACCAACATAAATGCAATTAAAAACCATAAAGTTTTACAGATGGAATCTGCTTTTGGTTGTTAATAATTATTTTTTTCTTAGAATTTTTTTTTGATTTAAATGTGTGTTTTCAAAGAAACAAAAGAAGACGTATTATAATGTTGAAATAATAATAATAAAACGGTGTACATTAATAAATAAACCTATTTATAACTTTGGAGTATAATTTGGTACTGATTCCACGTAGTATATCTATTATGATAATATAATGCAATCAATTCATTAAATATTAAAACTTTTGTTTTTAAATATCATTTTTTCTTACTAACAAGCCTACTAAATTTATTCGAATTTCAATACTACACAGTTCTTAAATATTCAAGGAAGGCAAACATAAAAGTAAAAATCTAAATAATATTTTATTAAATACTCAAAGTTACAAACTTTTGCAGTTTTTATTTTAATAATAACTGGAATTTTGAATTTAAATTAAATCTGAATGTCCATCATTATTTAAAATGCATACAATTGTCTATAACACCTTCACAAATACTTTTGTACTTATTCATGAAATACAGTTTTATTGAGTTATCACAATCGTATTTCCTGAATATGCTTAGAACGAAAACAAGCAGTCGTAGAACCAATTAATTAGATTCCAGTTGTAATCATGTTTATATTATTATTTTATTTTGCAATGGTTTTTTGTAGCACTTATTGATATTAGAAAAAATGTGTACAGTGGGTAATACATGTTCTTACCTACATAATTAGATAAATTAACTAAACACTTTATATATATATGTATATAACGCACGTATCAACACATATAAGTTTAAAATACTAAGTTATTCTATAGGTAATGTAATATTTTATAATTCATTTTACCTTAATAAGTTCATCAGATGCACGAGGAAAAAGCACAGTGCGAACATGACCACAACTGCTACCAACATTTTTGCCGCTTTCCTCCTGGCTTTTATCTGAGCCATCGTGCTGGTACACCCCATTGTCGCTGTCCGGTTGAACCCTGAGAAATAAACTTCATCGTGAGTATAATCATAGGTACGCATCTTGCGCTTATGTGGTTTTCCAAACTCGTTAAAACTAAGTTTTTACCTTTTATAGTATTATAGTTTTACAGTTTTATAGTAATATAATAATATTCTATCGTTCGCGCACAACTAAGGGCAGCCAACATTTTTTGGGAAATTTACATAGAGGTACACAACTATTGTATACTAAGTACCACGCACGGTAACTACGTATTGTGATCAAACGCGTTGTAAAAAGACTAGGACTTAAAAAAAAAAAATAACACAATTGTATGACGTATAGTGTTTAAAAAGTAAAAACTTTCAATACATTTTTGTAGAAAATTGCAAGATTATATAATATTTTATGTACATTTAAAACAATCTTGTCGTCGTTGTTTTTTTTTTTGCCTTGGAAATTGTTTACAATGACTTGAAAAGTGTTGAAAAATACCTTTCTAAATCACTATTTTTGTTCAATAAAAAGCTATAATTTGTTTTTTGAGAGAATTTGGTTGCTTCGTGCATACGTCTTATCCGAATTATAGAGATTTGGTTGGTTGCGGTAGTGAGCAGCGTGTTTTGATTTGTGTGCAAGCACATTTTCTGGATAAACAGAATATAAAAAATTTGAAATATTCCGAGCGCTTTAATAGAAAACGAATCAAATAATATGTCTTTAATAATTTAACACTTAATTCCAGGGCTTGCATTTGAAAAAAAAAAATTGTTTTACGTTATTTACAATTAAAACGTTATACAAACGTTGAGTTTATCGTTATTCAGAATTTAAACGTTATTCAACTTTTGCGTTTATTTTTATTCAGAATTAAAAATTTTAATATATTTTATGAATTATAACTATTAATCAATTGGAAATTAATTATTTCATTTAATGATATACTACATTTAACGTTTTGCGTTATGTTATGTTTTGTTTTATGATATATATTTTGTGTTATTTAACTATTTATGTTTATCGTTTTCCATTATAATTACATTACAAATCTCAATCGTTTTTTGTCAAATGTTATCATAACGTTTGCAAGCCCTGCTTGATTTTAATTATCGATAATATAAATAGTAAGTATTTAGTACAACGATCACGATGCAAAGATCGGCTGAATTGAAAATACAATGACAACCTTAGGGACTGCACACATCCATTTTTTGATTATTATAACACTTACACTCTTTATACACAGATAAATAGATAAATAGTAATTATTATCATTAAATTAGATTAAATGTGAAACATTATCGCTTTTTACTTTTAATGACAAGTATAGTGTTTTATATTTAACACAGGTTTTAAAAAAATGTAATAACTATTTACTTTGAATATAAAATACTTTATGCACTCGACTGTATAAATATTATACATTGTTGTCTAGTATTATGATTACAGTAAATTGCTTTTCAGGCGCGTTCATGCTTTATTGAATACTTAATTCTTTTTAATGTCGATAAATAAAGCGAGTTTCGAAGAAGTATATTTAAAACTATAAATCGAGTGATTATTTTTGTACATTAATGTAGTGTTACAGTTTTATTTGTAATTACAATAATACAATAACACAGTAATTGTTTTATGCTAAATATCTTTTCTACCACGAGAAATAATAGTGTATTCGAGTATTTTACAAGGCATAAGCACGCTTTAGATTTTTTTTTTCTCTAAAGCTGTTTTTATTTAAAACGATCACGACTTTAAACGTTCTAGGCGTATCAGTTATTAATTGATATCATTAAAAAATAATGATATTCTCAGTGAAGGAAAAATGTTATATAATTTTTATTTTGAAAAGTAAATAGGTTGCCATTAAATTTAATAAAGTAGAATGTATAATATTAATCAAGGTTAGTTTTTTTTCAAAAATGACTTGCTATAAAAAAAGTTATTCAAATATAATGTTGATTTGAATGACAATGGAAACTATTTATATATATATTATATTAATATTATGATAAATAGCTTGGGTTTTTTTGTAATAGATATTTGATTATTTAATTGTTTTCAAAACCGTGTTTTTTAAAATCATAAGCAATTTATAATCATATTGGAAATACTATAATATACGCTATATACATGTCGGAAATAAATCAAACCATTTTCTCATGGTATATCGTTATATTGTTTTATAGGCACCTATAGTGGCGTAATTTTTTTTTGTTTTGAATGGAGGCAACGGGATCATTTTTTTTCTCAGAAATGCCAACAGTAGAAACTTTTAAGTTTTTTATAATAAAGAAAAAATGCATCTAATATATATTAATAAAATAAAAATATTTTTTCTTCAATTTAAAAATAGGTATGTTGACACATTGTTAACATTTATAAAAACAACGTGGATACTAACGGTTTATTTCTAAGCCATAAAATAAGTTTTAAGATTTGTGTAAAGACAAACGATATTAGGTATGATTTTGGTTTTGGTGAATAAATTACATCACTTTAGTTTTTTATCTAGTTACGCCACTTATTATAAACGTGACAATAAAAGTTGAACTGCAAAACTTACCATTGTAAGCATTGGCATTGAACATTTGTACGGTTTCTGTGTGTCCAGGTATGTTGTCGGATTTCCATAGCACCCGAACAATTTGATAGTAAGCAATCGACATGAGCAATAGGGGCAGGATGTAAAGCATGATTGTCTTGGCGATTTGGTAGGAAGTCTCTGACCCTTGACTCCAGAGAGCTTCGCATTGGGTCAGATAAATAGACGGAAACCGTTTTGTCTTTGGAACGGCTTCCAACACCAACAGCTCTGGAATATCTACATAAAAAGTCCAGATTAAAACGATCGCAATTTATAATAATATATATGTATATTATGATAACACTTTACATACGAGTAGATAACTAATAATATAGGTAGATACGTATTAATTTAAAAGCACCTATAATTATATTATATTATATTATATTATACTTAATTATAAGTATATCTATCCCAATGCTCAGTAAACAACTAAGTTATTCTGTAACAGCATGAAATATTTTTTGCAAAAATAGTGTTTTTCTAAATAGCAATATTCATTTTGTTCATCAATATTAAAATACCCTCTAATGCGTAAATATTGAATATTGAATTTATTGGACTCAAAAAAAAAAAACAACACTTATCCCTGTGATAACATATAACAGTAAAATTTAGATTATTTTTGCAAGTATCTAGTGTTACTTGTTTAGGTGCTTTAAAATACTTAAAATCTAATCACATGTTTCCCGAAAATGTGCTAGGATAATGACCATAACAAGTTAAATTAAATTTTCCCATGTTAAGAGTATTTAAAATCATGACTAGTGTATTTTTTTATTGTACATTAACATTTTTTGGTTGGTTCACAGGCTATTTAAAGTTCATAAGATAATTATTAATTTTGTATTCATTAATATACTTTAAGTGGTTACTAGCTAATTTAAGTTTTCAAATATTTACTATAAAATATATTATATTTATATTGTGTATAAATTATCAAAAAAATATGTATGAACACGTGATATAATTACAAATATAAAAATCACAGTTCACAATTTGTTTTGTAGCTAAACATATGTTATGTGGTTAGGTGAGTTTCCTAATTATATTTGAATAAAAAAAAAAAAAAAAATACAATTATACGCACCAAATAAAAATAGGTATAACGTTTTGAAATTGAAAAATTATTTTATTTGCATTCGTAATTTAGAGTTTGACTAGTTACAGGGACTGAATACAAATTAATTCAGTGCATTATTTGTATTTTCGAATTATTTTTATTAATATCTGTAAGTGGATATTTCTTATAATTTTTAAATATTGTTTACAGTATTGCTTTTAGGCTATAATTATCAGGCCACTTAAATCTATCTATAATCTAGTACTTGCATATTATATTGATGTAACACTGTCCAATACTTCAATTGGATATTTAAATTAACATTAATAGGCTTTTGTTAGTACGGTTTAAATGTATAATAATTCATTGCGTTAACGATATATTTAATTTGATATTTCTATTTTAAAGTGAAAACGTACAATATATACCATACATGTATACTTAATAATATTTTATAATATATGCCTGCAGATGGAAATTAATATTTTATTATCAACATCAGAATAAATACTTAGAACTTAGAAAGGAACCTTTCTAAGGTAATTATCATTTAATTATAAATTATGTTTGATTAATTATAATTATATGCTTTTAGCTTTATACTTTATAAATATCACTGTAAAATTTATTTCACGAGTCAGTGTATGTTAGGTCGTGTATATTATTATAAATATATGTCATATTAAAAATGTATCACGTGTTTAAACAAAAATTTAGAATTTGAATACTTACTTTTTATAATTTAAGTATTTTTTGTGTTTTTTTATCATTTCTAGCAATAGCAATAATATTATAACTCAATAAATATAAATCAAAATTAATAACTCTTTGCCTACTAAAAATTATAAACAAATTTTACTAATTACTTTCATACATTGTTTCATACTAAAAGATTCCATTTTTAAGTGTTTTTAAGATATTATGTATTCACGATGAAAGCAATTCTCAATACGTTATACTTAAACCTTTTAACATTATATATTTGTGAGATCATTTCATATTTAGGCAGTTTTTAAATATCTTCTCTCACTGAACATAATAATTAATAAGTTTTTCTTCAATAAAAAATATTTCTATATATAATTTGTCATAATGATATTTTTTATAATACTATTTATTTACTTATAATATAATATGGAATAGAATAATGCCTTTATGGTCATAACTTATTTATTTTTGTAAGAAGCTTTAATTTTAAGTAATAAGTAATAATGTAAATGTAATGACCTAAAATTGAACTTTATTGTTTTGTGGTAGTTTGAATTTATTGTATGATGTATTATAATAATAATTAATAAAATCAAATCCTATACATTATATATACTTTTATATATTTTTTTTACGATTTGATAATGATTACAAATATAATAAATACATTTATAAATTATAAAAATGTTCAACTGATTAATATAATTTATTTTCATTAAGAATTTACAAATTATTTTTATTTGAATAAATATGTGATATTATGATAATTTTACTCAGTTATTTACATAATTAAAATGATTCTGTAATTATTATCTTATTAGGTATCTAATTATGTTTGCCACTAACGAATATTATTCCATTACTAGTGTTTAAAATAGTTGCCGATTGTAATATGGAAGAAAATACTAAGAAAATGAAAAATGTGTTGTTATCATTTATTTATATAAGTATACTGATTAATATTTATGTATCATTCTGAGATGTCAGATGTAAGACGAAGTTTATTGATAGTTTTATTTTGACAACTTCACGAGATTTGTTATTTATGTTGTACAATTTTTTAGCTATATTTTTTATTAATTGCCCAAGTAATGTGTGCTTACTCAATTAATTTTTCTGTGTTATTAATTTACGAACAAGTTTACAAGATTAAATTTCTTATCTTCACAGTATATCATTGTTCCTTGCTCGTTGGTGTTATCGTTAATACAGCTGTGCAAGTTTTGCCAAACTCTTGTGATTATTGTGAATGATTATGTGTAGGTACAATCAGAACAATTGTAGAATCCCAACATTTTATTTAAAAACTTACTCCGAGTAAATCAATTATACAAATGACTTACGGGCAAACGAGGACACATAAAATAGATTTTATTGCGAAATTCACGTTATCTCGATCTAAAGTTATTCCATGTTATATACTGTGCTCAATTTTGGAGATATATGTGCATTAAAATCGTGGATTATGACTAAACCTAGTATATGCGATGTACGTTATACATTTAATAAATATTTAGCACAATATCATACCTACATAAAATACGCATGTGAATTGTTCAAACAAATTGTAATGTTATTCAATTATCTGCAACGTAATTATTTTAACAGTTTATACGTAGTGCGCGTTGTTGCGAGAAGATATTCTAACAATTAGTTTAAGATTTGTTATTCAACATGATTGAGAAATTGGTTAATACGATAAATACTTATAATTACGCGTGGAATATACTCTATTAATATTATGAGGCGATAAGTGTGTGTGTTTTTTTTTTTAAATTCCACGGATAGCGACCAATTGAAAAACCGTGTAAGAAATAACCAACAGCACTATAATATTATATAAATAAAAATCATGGTAGATTTCGTTATTATCAGAAAATTTTTCTTCGGATTCCTTTAGTGATAGTAATATCTGAATAGGTATTATATGATTTTATATCAAACTTTATATATATATATATATATATATATATATATTAATATTACATATATGTGTGTAGACAGTACAAATATTCAATTTATGTATTATATTATCTATATACGTATAAATTATACTATAGTAATGTGAAGGTAGTAAAGCACAGAGCTTCATACAAATTAGGTTTCAAACTTAATGAATAGCTGTAATCGAAATAATGTGTTATTAAATACTTATATCATATTATGGCGACTTGATTACGTTGACGTATAAACATTTTTTCCAATAATATTTTAATTAATTTTGTGTAAATACTAACTATGAAATGAACCATTGTATATTTTTTTTAAATAATCGTAACATTATATTATACATATTATAGCTTATAGAATACAAAATATAATAAATTTTGTACACGCCATGATGTAATCAATCCAAAAATTTAGCCATAGTAAATGGACTTATTTAATTACAAAATTATTTAACTATAAAGTATGACGTATTAGATTATACGTAAAGTTTTATCAAGACGTGTAAAATATTTATTCGAGTCAAATTAATTATGTAAACGTTTAAAAATTGATTAATTCACATATAATTTCACCATTGTTATTATAAACAATTACAATATCTGCTGTATCTACTTTCTTCTTTATTATCTTTTTAGACTACAGTAAAATACATGCTGAAACATATCTACTTAATATTTTTGACTACTCTCTTTAGAGTTAAATTATTGATTTTTTTTCTTTTATTAAATTTAAACTTTTCTAACAATAAAATATGTACATAATATATAAGACGAATAAAAAAATAAAAATAAAATATATTAAAATTATAATAATATATTCTAAAAAAAAGGATGTTATTCTTCTTGTATAGGAGGTTTGCCACCATTAAAAAATTATAGGTACAGTCGATTCACTTATTATACATGTATATAATATGTAGCAACTCAAATTAAATCAGAAAAATTGATTTGTACAAAAATTTACTTATTATATTTGTGCTTTATACGTAATAAAATTATAAATTTATGAAAAAAAGTTGATCGATGAAAATACTGTATAGTAGATGTCAAGTGAGTTACTATAGTGGTAATGTTAAATTTAAATGTATTAATATCATTGTATACTTAAACTGATTCTGAGAGAATACGGTCTGTCAAACTTTATTATTAAATACATTTTTATGATGTATTTTTTGATATTACTATTAAAGTAATTTATTTTACTATTAGTATTACGGTAGTTGTTTAATTATTGATGAAAACATTTTATTTATTATATTATTATATTTGATTATTAAAATAATAATAAATATAATTTATACTATAATTAACTTTTGAGTTAGTAGAGTTAGTAGCATCTTACCAAAAACTTTGTAAATAAGTTCATAGTATAAACCAAGTAATATCTTAAAATTAATTTACATATTTTAAAAATGTCATTGCATAATATAAAATTTGTAGTTTATTTACCTACGAATAATGTTTTTAAATCACCTGTAATAAAACAATGAACATCGTTATTCATCGTTTAAATATCTAATTTCGTCTAAATTTGAACTTTATTATAAATATTTAATTATTTATATTATATTTATAATATAAATATGTTTTATGAATATAAAATTTCTTAGTTCTAGTATTATCAAACCTTAAATTAACTTTTAAAAAGTTAATATAGACATTCATTTTTAAATTACAACAAAATAAAAAAATAAAAAAAAACCTAAAAACTGATTAAGAACTTAAGTGTAAAAATTCCCGTTTATTTCATAGTTTTTATTACCGTTTATTATGAAAAGGAATAGAAATTTTGACTTCCTCTCTACCCAAGGACAATCTTGGTCTAGTTTTATTCCAGAGACACCTCCAAAGTTGAAAATTGAATAGTATCTTTACTTACCGAAAATATAATAAAATATATGTAAAAAGAAATACATAATTGTAAAATCAATACATTCATCTCTCAACTCAGAATCTAAATTGAATATGATTTACGAGTTAAATAAACGTATAGCATTGTAGGCATATAATACAAATTTAAACCTATATTCTAAATTACTTTGTAAGCCAACTTCATGAGTTGATGATTCGACACTTTTCGGTAATCTCAGAAGTGACCTGTTTATCGAACAACTCACAAGAAACAGTTCTAAATTATTAATGATTACAGATTTTAATTATACATCCTAATTTTGTTATTACTTATTAATGCAATTCAAAATAAATTCATAACTGGAGAAAATATTAAATTCCAATTTATTTTTATTATTTAAAAATAAGTAGTAAAAATAAAATAATTAAAATCAAAAATATACGTATATTATTGAACTCACGAGCATTTAAATTGGAATGTTACAAATGCATAATTATTATTATTTTAAATAAAAATATTAATTAATTTCAAATAAATGATGATAGGTATAAAAATATGCACTCTACAGCACTTAGATGTGCATATATATTAATAGACATTTAATTATTTAAAATATCAATTTTAATTTAATAAGTAAGCGAAATAATAGCAGCATTGTTCAATCTGATTTTTTAAAATAAAAATCTTAACTTAATAAGGTATTTTCTTTAGTAAAGTGTTTTGCAAGTTATGTAAGTTGTATTTTTGTGGGTAAATAATTTATAGTTTACAAAAATTATAATATTCATATTAAATTTTTTGTTTTGGAGATTTTATATATCAAATATTTAGAGATTCCATTAAATCCCATTATAGATAAATTGAAAATGTGTATCGTGTAAGTAAATTTTAGATATGAATTTAAAATGGTAAGTTAAAATGTGACAAAAAGCTTATTTGTAACGACTAATGGTATATCGTAAATTTTAACATCCAGGTCGCATATCACATTGGGTACAGTCCTCATAATAATAGTTATTTAGTGGTTTTAGTGGTTATAAAATTACATAGCGTTGTATTACCCTATCATAAAAATATACTTGAATCCCATCCCAATTCAAATCCCGAACTCAAAACCTGATACATATTTTGTAGAGTATAATATCTTACCTATCAACTTAAACATCCGGTTGAAGATTAATAATGTTTACATTATAATATAATATTGGGATTATTATATTTAATTTATTTACTGAATAATATTTATTTGGGCAAGAATATACCATTTCTCTTTCATAATAACATCTTTTTTTTGTTTAATATCATTAACTTAAAAGTATAAAGTATCTATTTTATATACATAAAAAATAAGTACAAAATCTATACCGATATATTTTATTTTTTTATATTCCCCAAAATAATATTATTTTTGTATCTCAAAGAATATTCAAAATTAACATAAATAACCATATAATTATAATATTGAGATACAATGTTCATCAATAGTCTACCTTGTTAAGACTAAAAACTACTTTAAGCACATTAAAAAGATAACTTTTTATCATAATATTTCAAAATATTTTGTAGGTCTATTATACATCTATTATATCTATATAATATTGACAACAAATAAGATTATGTATATTTTTATTATAAATCCATAATAAATTAGGCGTTTAACTAATAGTAAACAAGGGCCCTGATCAGCGAGTATTTTATCTGTTCAATTTCTTCTATTTCAATGACATAGTCAACGATGACAAATATATAGAAATAAACAAGTTAACACTTAAAAAAATGTAATAAAAATAATAAAAATATAGTTTTTTTTTCAAAAAATTTAATTTTGTAACAATTTAAAATTAAGTAGGTAAAAGAAATATTTTCAAAAGCGTTAGTGCTTCTAAAATAACACATGTTTCGCGTTAAATGGATTACATTGTTATTCCACTGTTATACAGAGAAATATAATTTTCAAATAAAAACTTCATTTTTGTCAAATTTTATAATTTTCAATTTTTTTTTTTTTTATACTTGAATTTATTGTACTAGTAATATAATATATGTATAGTTATGTATACAATATAGTACATGTCAACATTTTCAAAAAATAAAATAAATATTCTTCTTAGATATATTTGATAAATATATTTAAGTATATACTATAAGTATGTTTCAAATTGTTGAATTTATTGGAACATAATTGTATAGTATTACTACCAATATTCATGTTTGAAATAGTTTTTTTTCAAAATACACAAAAAGTTAAAAAATAAATGAGTTTCCTAGGAAAAATAACGAAGACATGACGTGGAAGATTCAGCTCACTTCGTTAAAATATCACCGTAGCATAATAGAAAAACATTTCAAAGCAAAAATAGATAATCGCAATACAAAAATTGATTTTAAGCGGAACTTAGTTATAATACTACAATTGTTTTTATTTTTTCATAGATGTTTGACTATTGTCAAAAGTTTTTTTCTTTCCACTTAAAAAGCTATTGATAAATATTACCTCTTAGAAATACATTTTCTAGACTCAATTTCCGATCTATATATTTTGAAACTTTTGAACACTCTTCCTTATTTCATCGAAAATCTAATTGATTGTTTTGGTATTAACTTTGGATAAAAAAATAAAATATGAAATTTAGTTTTTTTATAAATGCGTGTCATAAAATTATATTGCTAGCCATTGTATAACTATAAATTTCAAACAATAAAAGAATATTAAATGTTTAAAAAAAAAAAAAAAAAAATGAATAAAGAAATCATGATAGTCATGGCGTAAAAAATAATCATCTTGTTCGTATAACACTACCGTATTATACGGGTCACTCCGATAAAACCTGCTGTCATCATTTCTCTTTCTGTATCAAATAGAGTTTATTATTTTATTACCTGAGACAAGTCCCACAATCCATATGATAATGATGGCTGTTCTGGCACGGCTGGTGGTAGATTTGAACTTTAGAGGATGACAGATGGCGTACCAACGGTCGATAGAAATTGACGTCAGCGTCATAACTGACACGGTTACGGAGACGGTCTGTATAAATGAAAAAAAAAATAATAATATTAAAACTCCTAAAGAAAAAAAATACAGTATATAAATAATAAGTTTTTTTATTTAATGGTAATCATACCGAATTCAATACCAATCGCTACTAATTTTATTTAAATACAATTAAATGTTTTAAACATATCGGTAGAATATTATTATACCACAAATGTATAGATATAGTATATATTTAATATTATAAAATAATAAATTGGCATTATCATTATTTCTACATAATATTGTACATATGTATTAAGCGTTTTAAGTCATGCTAAGAAATCTGTAGTAGTACGCTAAACATAGATTAATTATATTTTAGGAATCTTACATTTTTTTCTTTTTAGTTGATTATAATATATTATGTTACGGTGTGTTTGCAATAATAGCCCACTAACTAATTAACTTTTCTATTTATCTCCCGTCTAGACTTTCAATTATTTGCATATCCGCTTGAATGTACAAATACTTACAAATACAAAATGTATAATAAAATTATATTTAATATAATATGTACCTGTTTCAGTGAAATTAATGATTCAACTTTTAAAATATATACGTCAATTATCTTTATAAATAAGTGGAACAATCTTTGATTTATAAGACATATTGAAAAAAACAGTTGATTTTCTTTTAAGTTTTATTGAACTTAAAAAATACTATACATTTTTATGCAAAGATAAAAGTAGCAAATGCCTTTGTTTTTGAGGAGTGTAGAATATAAATATGTTTTATTTCTTAAAAATGTTAATACATAATTAATAAAACTAGAAAATTGTTATCAACGTTATGAACATGGTAACTTTTTTTAAATTTCGATAACTACTTAATTTTACATATTTTCTAAGCTAACTATAATTTATAATAAATTTTTATAAATGTTATTTAACTTTATATACTAAAAAAAAGTGTAACATTTTCAATTTTTTATACATAACTTTATTTTTTATTTTTAGATGTATTTTAAGATTTTTTGATAATTTATTCAATTTCGATTTCAATATTTCTATATGGGCACTCATAAGGGCTAGTTCTATTATCTATCTTTCTTGTCCATTTCTGATTCTTAAAAAAGTTTTGAGGTGTTTCAAAGTTAAAATTGATAAAGAAATTTCTAAAATCATGTATGAGAAACATTAAACAAAGATAAAAGTTACTGATGTGGAATAAAAAAACATACTAGATATATGTTTATATATATAAACCGTTTTTTTTTTAAGGGAATTCATTTCCTTCACTGATTCGCCAAAGTATTATTTAATTCAATCGCAAGACGTGTTATTACTTATTCAATGATATCATAATATGTTGATTGTCTAGCTGAAAATTGACACAAATATATTCAAATATACTTTTTTAACTATATTTGTAATGTGAATAACATACTCCTAAGTGGTAAATATATTGAAATCCGATTGATCAGCGATTATTAGATTATTATTACTGCGATTACTTCGGTTTCAGTGACATTTTGAATTTAATATCACAATATATAATATTTTACACTGAATTCGAAATCGACAAAAATTGAAATGGTTGTGTTTTTAGTGAGTACCTATTACATAATTTCTACTTTTAACATTTACGAAAATTACAGTATTTTCATATATTCTATTTTGTTTGTTTACAGCGGTTAGATACAATATAAAAACAACGATTAGTTAATATAATATTATCATATATTACCAGTTACCACCCATTTTTTTTTTTGCCAAATTATTCGCGTACTCGCACTTTTAATAGGAAAACACACACATACACCCATTATAATAAAAAAAACTGTTATAGGTCGTATCATCGTCATCGTTTTTATGACGAATAAAATTCTGCACACAATAAGGCGCGTATCCATCATGGTGTAAATAATGAGAACGCATTTAAAAATAAAAATCGTTTAAAAAAAGTAGGTACCCATAAATTTACATGATCTTTAAAATATTGTATCGTCATTATTATTCACCATCTTCCTCATCCAGTCATATAATATTGAAATGTGTATGTATTATTTTAATACTTGGTACGATTGGAATATCGACCAACTTTATGCTTATATATTTAATAATAATAATGTGTCAATTACATATAATTTGTCAAAAACGAGATTTTTTTTAAATATTTTTAACAAAAGAACTAAAAGCACGAACCAAATTTAATATCACTCTCTTCCTCGAATGTTATATATTTTATCATAAAAAAACATCCGCTTTACACAATATTATACACAAATCGACCGTCACATGCAGATTTTATAATTATTATCATTACTATTATAACTAAGTAATATAGTAATAAATCGTATCTAAAATATGTTTAAATGATTTGGTTACCTGTATAATTGTACATTGTACTAGAACTAATAACAGCAGTAGCCTTTTAAACTTTAACTGTAAAATATTACTACGAAATAAAAGAAATAGTTTTTCCCATTTAATACAATATAAATTATAACATACAACTTTGAACAAGTTTTTTTTTAATATTTAATTAAATTAAGAACTTTAAAATTTGTTATTTTTTTTATTTTCGATTAAATTGCAATTCATATACAATCAATATTTGAATAAAAATTATAAAGTTGTTGTTGTAAAATAAAATTATAATTTAATATTCATAATTACCATGTGAGTAAAATAACATTAAACTTGATGACCTTAAGATCATAAATGACTGTATAATATGATATAGAAAATTAACACCATTTGCTATCAATATTTTTTTTTAAATGAACCATCTACTAATTGGAACGATCTCTTAGAAATAATGGAAGTTTTATCCAACGTATTCAATATATTTATAAAAAAAACCTTATCGTTTGAAAAATCTTTCAAAATTATTGATTGTATCGTTTTTAACAAATCTGGTTTTAATGAACATTTAATTAAATCATTCACATAATCTATAGTTGTTATTTCAAAATTTTTATGGATATTAGAAATTTGGATAGTTAAATAATTAGATGAAAATGATTGATTATGAGTAAAAAAAAAGAAAAACAAATATTAGATTTTTAACTATAATACCATAATACACTAACTTTATTATTACTTTTCATTTAATCAAATGACAAACGATAAACATTTAAACGACTGACGCACAAATCAGCTGTAGTACTACTTACACATTTACACATGTATTATAATTACGTCTTAAAACTATACTCATTTTTTTAAATGCTCTTATGTGTACTAACTAACTTATGTAAATATATGAAAACGTTTGTTTTAAAAAAAAAGAATATCAAGTTTAAATAAAATAATAAATTCGTTTCAGTATAACATTTTTTTTATTTAAACTATTATAGACGGAAATTTCAATTTGTTTGAAATATCAGTTGTTTTGTTGTAGATTTCATAGTTACACTTAAATATAAATTATTTCTAAGAACATTTATATTTAAATAAAACATTCATTCTCGAGAATATTTATTTTTATTTTTATTTTTTTGTATTAATGCATTGTGTATAATTTACACTCAAAATTTAAAAGTTTATACTTATAATTTAAATAATAAAAAGAAATGTTCAATATAGAAGTAATTATAAAAGATTGCCCCCCCCCCCCCCCCACCAAATTTGAACATTCCTTGAGGGCTCCGATGATTCCGTCTTAAGTACGCTACTGATCAATCTTAGAACATAAACAGTGTGTTATGATTTTATTTATCATATTATAGGTATGTAATAAATAATAATTATTAATAAAGTACGGTATTACAATAATTACATCAGACGGCACTTAGTGTAGGCAATTCAAGTACATTTACATTGCGATCAGTGATTTAACGTATCTACACATCACACGTAGTTATTCAACTTGTAACATATCAATATCACTGTCAAGCTTACAGTCATCGGAGTATTTAATCCCAGATATTTATTTCTCCTAAATCCTTTCACCATGATACTTATAGCCTGTAAGTGTATAAAATAAATTTATCACAAACTGTTTACTGTTTTATCTTCAAAGATGGTTTTCTTGCATTTGAAAATAAAAAAAACTTAATGCCTCTCGTGTATTATGTACTATATTCTTTTTTTTATCTATCTCGTAGTCAAACTGCTGACATTTTTTTTCTGAGACAAAATTCATTATTTTAAATATTAATATAATTTATTTGACTGGATCGTATGGTTGCAGTGTGTACACCACGTGTTATCGATAAACGATAAATAACTCCGAGCGTAAAACTTTAACCTTCGAAGAAAGGTTTTAAACACATATATTATCTGAAATAAATATATAGACATTTGAAGTTAAGTGATTTGGGACACGGATACAACCACCAAGTTTTAAACACGTAAACACACATATTGTACAATATACACTGTACACAAACCGACTTAAAATTCAATACTAAACTTTATTGTCCTCCGTGTGTGACTATTTCATTTACGACATGACAGCTAAGCCGCTTCATTGTACATTGTTACGAAAAACAAAAATGTGTTACAAGTGCTTACTATAATGCATGTTATTTTAATATAATACAAGTATTAACGCGTTATACTAGTGAATACATTTGGTATATAATACATGTAGATTATAGATCAGTTTTATTTTTATTTTTGTACAATAAATTTGATTTTGCTGTAATATAATATAACATATATTCTTACAAAAGTTAGTAGATAGACATTTTAATGCTCCTCCATTCTTTCTAAAATTAACTTTAGATATCGCACTGATTCTTTTAGATCATACTTTTCCTTTGTTATTTATTTTTATAACACTATGACAAAAATAATCCATTTGATTGGATAAAGCATCTAGCAAATGATCACGCTACTTTATTCAATGTGTGTGTATGTGTGTGTAACGAATAATTATTAAGAATCATATCAAACATTTAACAATTTGTGAATTATAAATAACTATTTAACATTAAATTTTCAAATCTATTAAGTTAAATGTTTCTTTAAACTAATATTTATTTTGTGTCAAATAAATATATTGTACTGTTGGGTATCATAACTGTTTATTAATAATAAATA